ACGGACCCGGGTCCACATGGGCCCCACCGGACCCGGCCCAGGTCCACATCCGGGTCCAGGCGGCCTCACTTGCTGCGCAGCAGCTCCAGCTGGTCCTGGTACTCTGTGAAGAGTCTCTGGAAGCGCAGGTTGGCCCCGATGACGGGAAGAACCTCCCTCAGCAGCTCCCGCTTCCTCAGACCCTGAACACACCGCACAGACACAGCTGGATCAGGGGAAACAGCTGGATCAGGGGAACAGCTGGATCAGGGGAACAGCTGGATCAGGGGAACAGCTGGATCAGGGGAACAGCTGGGTGAGGGGAACAACTGCATCAGGGGAACAGCTGGATCAGGGGAACAGCTGGAAGAGGGGAACAGCTGGGGGAGGGAACAGCTGGATGAGGGGAAACAGCTGGGTGAGGGGAAACAGATAGGGGAGGGGAAACAACGTTCACAGCCTCAACCTACCAGAGTGGCGGGCTCCCAGGACGTGGCTGTGGATTTGTGGACGGGACCCAGCAGCTCCTTGCAGAGCTCCCGGAGTCGGTACTCTGAGCCTTGAGGGGGGAGGGGGGGGCACATAAACCGGTTAACATGGTTAAAGCAGCTTTAAGGTGGAATTTAAGTCAAAAACAGCTGGTCACCTGTCAGACACCAGATGGGGAGATATAGGACTAAATAAAGGCCACCTGACCTGGGCTAGTCAGGCTACTCAATATAAGGGATATTCAGGCTAATGAAGCTAATCGGGATATTCGGGCTAATCAAGCTAACCAGGTGAGTAAGGCGAATCAAGCTAATCGGGCTAGTCAAGCTAATTAAGCTCATCAACCTAATTTGGATATTCGGGCTAATCGGGCTAGTCAGGTTAATCAAGCTATTCGGGCTAGTAAGGCTAATGAAGCTAATCGGGCTATTTGGGCTGCAGCTCACCTTCATTGACCAGGAAGCGGGCGTAGATGAGCAGCCAGTAGCGGTACTCCTGTGAGGACTGCAGGGTCAGAGCGGACGCCAGCTGGTTCTCCAGGAAGGCCAGCGTCATGCTCTGCTGCAGGTGATGCGGCGTGGAGGAGAGGCGGGACGCCAGCCGGCCGGCGCTGTGGGGAGAGGAGCCCGTGAGCGAGCGTTTCCCTTTGAGTCCAGACTCTGTTAGCATTCATCCATTTATCAGCTGTCAGTGAGTCCCAGAAACCTTTCCAGAGTTCCCACAGTGGGTCAGAACCTGATTACAACCAGGAAGCAGCATGTGGACGTTAATCTGAGACGCATTATGGCTTCATGTGGAAATGCTGAGATCTCTAAGCTCTTTGAACACAACAATGAGTTTCCTTAACTGAAAAACCTAATAAACATGATTTTGAATGATTTTCCTTCATCTAAAGAACTAAAAAGCTGATTTTTCAGAGATTTTCTTTCATCTAAAGACCTAAATACTTTTTTTTTCCCCACACAGATTTGGGATCATATGAATCATAAACAGTATCCTCTCCTTTCTCAGGTCACATGGGATGGCATGCCCTGCTCCTATTGGCCTGTTTGTGTAGCTGAGCTCTGGTTTGAATCCTCTTCTGCTGTATTTTACCCAGTTTTTATATTATCTTATGATATGTTTTTATATTATCTTATGATATGTTTTTATATCATCTTATGATATGTTTTTATATTATCTTATGATATGTTTTTATATCATCTTATGATATGTTTTTATATTATCTTATGTCCTGCTGGGCTGCAGGACACCAAACGTACTTGAGGTTGCGTCCCTGCATGACGGCCAGCGGCCCCGAGGACACAGGTGCATCATGGGAGGGCAGGCAGCTCCTGAAGTCGGCACACTGGACCAGGGAGTCGCCTTTGTCTGCGATCAGAGTCCTGGAGGAGACAGAGGGGAGCCGGTGAGGCGGCCGGAGCTCGGGGGGGTGGGGGGGGGGGCGGCTGGCCGTCTCACCAGGTCTCCAGGGAGACGCTGAAGCAGTAGGACTTCCCGTTGGACAGGCCCACGACCGGGACGCCCTGCTGGGTCAGCAGGGACTGGGACACGCTGGAGTCGGCACCTGGGGGACAGCAGCGGTTCATGGAGGGGCCGGCTCCGCCCCCGAGCCTCAGCAGGCTGGATTTAAGGTGGAGCAGCACCCAGAACCACTGATTTAAGGTGGAACAGCAGCTAAAACCACAGATTTAAGGAGCCAAAACCACTAATTTGATAATGAGCGGCATCGAAAACAACTGATTTAAGGTGGAGCAGCATCCAAAACCACGGGACTGATTTAAGGTGGAGTGCCACATGGGGGTGGCAGCAGAAAGCACATGATATATTGAAAAAAAAAAAAACACTAACAGGACGCTCAGTAGCTTCTTTTTGCTCGGTTTGAACAAGCAGAAGTGCGTTTTTCTCTGATTCCCTTAAAGGTTTCCTGTGGTTTCTGGAGTGTTGTGGAGCAGCTCAC